TAATTATAGAAAGAATCTTTTTGTGGCCTGTTTTTAAAGCAGTGTAATGTCGGTTCAGATTAAAAGCTTGACTCATATCAGTAATTACAGACTTCTTGTACATTATTAGCTTCATGGAGCTAATAATATCTTAAGTGTATGAGTGAGTGGGCGGGAAAAGGTGACTAAAGAGTTGATATTTCAGTTCTCAGCCAGCTCACTTGGGCTGATGTCATGTGGAGTGCATGCATAATGCAGTGGGTTTAACACAGAAGACGCTTCTTCTGGTTTGCAGATTTGAGTCATGCATTGTTGTTGTTGTTGTTGTTGTTGTTGTTGTAAAAGTCCTCTGGCCAGTCAGGGAGGGTTAGACCACCCCGGTACCACCTCAGCTGTGTGTTGATTAGATATCTGACCCTTGCACGTTTCGTCTCGCTCTGCACCTGCTATCGTCTCCGAGCTTTGCACAACAGAGACCACAACAGGTGTGACCTCCCTAATATCCAGCCGCAGTCTCCCACCCCGAGCTTATCCATTTGTAACTCATTTACAACCACAAATCGCAGATAACGGCTTACAGGTCGGCTTCTTGCACTTCCTCGCCCTGGGCACACACTCATGCCACCTATTGTTGTAAAACTTTACATTTACTTGTAGCTCATCACCCTTTGCTCTTTCCCCTGCGGCCCAGTGCCCTCTGGGCTTTCCCCCCCACCCATCTGCTTTTAGACTCTGGGTTGCAGCTGCCCTCTAGTGTCTGCTGTCTGCTCACTACATCATGAATGCTGTTACAAAGGCCTATAGGTTCCATGGCATGGGGATTTACTGGAGATTAAAGTTAAAATTAACCATCTTAAAACAGCTACATCCCCTTTTTTCACACAAGCGCTTGCTTTTGTACAATCCACTTCAGCAGATTACGCTTAATGTCTGTCTAGACGGAGAAATCGACTCCATGCTGATGCCATCTAGAGCCAATTATTGAACCGCTACATGTGAAATGTGCTCTAATAAAACTTTTATTCACTCATTCTTTTATTAAAATAGCCTCATGTTTCATAACTGTAGATTATATTTAGTTAAACCTAAGAAATACTGAGGCACAGAAAAGTTTTTCACAGCCGCTTTGTGAACACTCTTTTAAACGTTTTCTTAAAGCACAAAGGCAAAAACAAAAGTCCCCAATTCTTGGTGGGAAAATGGAAAAGACAAACAGCTTTGTTTAAGGAAAAAGTGTGGCTTTGATTTGTTTGTTACTCATCTTGGGGGACCCCCTCGGAGCTTGGTAACCGTGGCGGTGCATCGGGCATATATTTGTGGTAAAATCTGAATCATTCCTTAGTTTCCAGTGTGATGACACAGATAACTCATGTGGGCTCCTTTATCGCCTTTCCTGGCACATGTTGAGTGTGTCACCGGAGTTTGTCTCACCAGAGGCGACGGGATTTTCCTCAAGGGTTTCCAGACGTCAGATTATAATGATATTAAAGTTCTTTATCTATGTATTGTCTTTGTTGTGTCAGTCATTGTAAGCATCAAACCCCGTCTGTCCTTTTCTGACCCTTTTTGTGCCTTTTCTTGCAGCCTGTGTTTAGAGAAGACACCCTACGGTTGTGTCTGCAGCGCGGTTTGTTAGCGACAGGCCAACCAAGCGCTCAGTCAGCACTCTGAATGGCTTCACTCTGCTCTTTCTTGCCTTTTTTCTCCTCATCACAGCTCTGTTTTGTAGATGCAGCAGAGAAGAGACAGACTTTTGTTTTGCCTTGCGAGGAAGCTGCAGTGGGGAAAACAAAAAGGGTAGGGAGGCCACTGTGTGTTAATCAGTTGGCTCACTGTCACGATCCGACTATGAGAGGGATTAAAACATATCGCCAGACTAATCTGTCCCTTACACCAGCGGGCAGTTTTCACTTTCCACAGATGTGTTTGTTGTCGGAGAGCAGTGAGGGGCAGAGACGTCGCTCCTCCGAGAGCTGCGGTGCATGTCGGGCTTTGATTTCCTGACATTTCCAGGAGTTTCGCGCTCCCAGGTTAAGATCTAAAAGAAACGGGTGGAAGAAAAAACCTCGAGTGCTGTTTACTGAGCATTCAAATCGTTACAAGTTAGATAAAAAAAGGTATGCTGTTATGATTTAAATTAAGCCCATATGCAGGTAATGTCTGCCTGCTCGGGCATGTTTCGGCTAACCAGTAGACCATGTGCTTTTGTTCGAGCTCCTCACGTGTGGCTCACATCAGATAAACTGTAACTCAATGCCTTTATTTTCATTTTTCTTTTGCCAGCCATCTCTCTTTTTTTCTCACTTAACCTCCTGTTTTTGTAAGTGCCGTCATGGTTCATGAAAGGGTGACCGAGAGAAAGAGAGGGTGTGAGACAGCCAGAAACCTTTTGTTTCCAAATTAGGCACTCCTCCCGCCTCACTAAAACTAACTGTTATTGTAAAAAGTGCCATATGAAATCCCACCTCAGTGCTGCCGCTTTGAAATGGATGCAGATTTTAAATCCCCGTCTGGCTTTTTCTTTCTCTCGCATCTCCCCCTCCTGGTGATGAATCGGACCTCCCCCTGGTGATCCAGCAGGGCGGTTCCGGCTGGTGGTGCATTGAACCCGAAGCTCTGGTCTGAACCACAGAGAGAAGACAAACCCCCCTGCAGCCACAGCCTTCTGACTTTAAGTGGAACCATAATTACATAGCCTAGTGTATTTATACTCAGCAGTGACTCAGTGGGACATGTGGCATGTGCTTGTGTGTATGCATGTGCACAAGAAAACCAGCCTTTTGTATTCACATGTAACTGGTTTCTGTGTGTGTGTGTGTGCCTGTGTGTGTAAGTGAAAGTCTACTGACTCAATAAACTAACTGGGGATAAAGTGAGGTGTGGATCCACCTCAATGTAGTTTGTTATTTTTGCAGGAAAGATCATTAAAAGAGCCACTATGTAACTCTTGGAAGTAGAAAAATAGAAAATGTGTGACGCCCATAAAAATGAGGTTCGTTATTATGATGACGTACGAATTAGAAGCAACTATTAAGGATGCATATCAGTCATGCAGTGCAAGCGCCTTGCTGCTTTAATAGGCCTGTTGCTAACATGCAAAAAATTGAACAAGATCAGATGTTTGCATGCTGTGTATAAATACATGGAGCTTATTAATAAAAAAGCTTTTTAAAGCCTTTCCAATGTTTGCTGTAATGCAAAATTGAGAACATGAAGAGCATGGCCTGCGAGTGATATGTGGGTGACTGCAGGCCAATTATAACATTCTGGACTCTTGATCAAAGATCTCCCATAATGTAAATCAGAGTTTTATTGTAAATAAATTACTCTTTACATCATTCAATGACTGATCCCACAGACTGCGCATAAAACATGGTTGTATTGAACGCAGGACCACTGCAGGGATCTCGAAGTGATCACATCTGGATGAGAGCGTAGCTAGCTTGATTAGCAAAGCGATTAGCATCACACAGATACTTGTGAAAGAATGATGCACAGAAACTAAACTGCTTGAATTTCATTCACCAAAACTGGCGTGTAGACTTTGACTGACTGTTGTCCTGTCACTCAATGTTGCATAATTTTACACCATAATGAAATTTAAATTGGTAAGTAGAGATGTAGAGAAGGGAGATGTTAACTTCACAGTTAAGGAAGTATCTTTAGCCTTTCCAGATTTGCTTCATTTTTCAGCCTTGCATTTGCAGCCTCACATTGCACATTGCACAATATCTTAACTTCCTGGAGTAAATGTAACATATTTTCCTAACGCACATGTATACATCCTTGTGTATTTGCACAAGATTAACAAAAAAAAGAAAAAGTGACCCACACGGAAGAGAAACGCAGGATATCATATTAAAGTGCTAGATGACACCGAAACACTTTGAGTTCATATTTTATATTAACTGTGTTTTATATTTTTTGGTACTTTTATTGGACACGCCACTATTATTCACTCTTCTTGGGGTATGTTTCTGCCTGTGAAAGTAACAGACTCGTTAATTTATCACCTCCTCAGTGAGTATAAACTATCAAAGCCTGCAGTGTGTGTTCTTGTTGGCATAGTGCGACATATCCAGAGGGTACGGTGTTTTTTGCGGATGACGGCCTTCTCCAGTCGAGTTGGAACTTGCCCCGCTGTTCGGCAGGTGAAACCTGTCTAACCTCATCGGTAACGGATGCTCGGCAGGTTAACAGTGACGACAACCGGAGGGGAACGTTGGCTGTCTGTAACAACAACATGGTTACCTGTCTGCCGCTCTCGCACGTACCCTGGACGCCTGGCTGTTTGGTGAGAACTCACCCCTGACTGATTTAGTGGTTTTTAGGTGTCACTGTGTTGTATATGGGTGGATCCTCTGGGAAGGAGTGTGTCTGCACGTGAGAGTGGGAGTATAGGCTTGACAAAGAGGTCATATTGACATCCAGTAGCGACCGTGTTATTTTCAGAGCTTTTACAACCACAGCAGCGCCCGTTGCTCTCCTTCTCTGTCTTTGGCAGCTTTTTTCCATGTTCTCTCATTATCATTCTCCCTCCTCTGTGTTTTCCCCTCCTAACTATAAGAAAAAGGGAGTAGAAGACTAAGCATAGCAGCCGCAAATGTTTTTTTTCCTCTCTTTGTGCTGCAAATTGGCCTCTTTCTCTTTTCTCTCTTTTTTTTTCGTCTCCCCTTTGAGTGGAGGGGAGGCGGTGGAGGCAGGGCTGGCTTTTGTGGAGTTTAGCAGCGGGACCAGAGCTCTGTCACTGTGTTTGTGTCGCTCACACACACACATGTGCAGCACACGTGCAGCACAGGAAGGATCCAACGTGGATTTAACCTACCAGCAGCAACCCTACAGGAGATCTCTTCACCTGGACTGTTAACAGCTGACCCGCTCTCGGTTTTTCCCAACGTATGACTTCAAGAGTTCCGCTTTACAGTGCACAGGTGTTTGTTTACTGATGACAGTCAGACCGGTTCATGTGGAAGGAGTCAGTAACTGTCTGGATACAGTCCGAGTAACAAAAACAAGGACTAAAGAGAAAGCAAAAGAGGAGAAGCAACAGAAAAGCAACAGATCGAGTAGCTGATGGTCGCTGTGATAAAGTAAACATTCGGGATTAAGATGAGAGAGAGATGAAGTTTGTCTGGCACTAGAGGTAGAGAGGGAGGGTGAAAGGAGAGAGTGGGGGCAGTGGGAGGGAGGAGAGACAGAAGATCCAGCCCTCTGGGACAGCAGTTGTGTGTTTTGGGGGGTGGACAGAGTGGCTTTGAATGCAGAACATCACTGGACACCGACAGGAGGGTTGCTGTCAGTTGGTCTCTGTGTGTGTGTCTGTAGTGAAACCAGACCTACCTCTGATCCCTGCACCACACACACACTCCTCTATCTGCTGCCTTTTTCTTCCTCTAGTTTGAACCCCCCAATAGTGCGGATGAGGGTCTTGGAGAGCTGACAGATGGAGGTCAGGAGCGTCAGGCTGTGATGTGTAACTTGTTGGATTAAACTTTCCCGAGGCTCAGCAGCAGCAGCAGCAGCAATGGACTGGAGCCAGGAGGCGTGAAGTTAAATGACTGGAGAATCGGAAGACACTAAAAGCAGCCACCCTGTCTTGGCTCGATTGTAGGTCTGTGTCTGGACACCGTCCAGGACTCTGTGTTGGTGCTTGAGTGTGTGCAGCCCATGTTGGTGGCGAGCGATGCGGATCTGACCAAACTCAGCGCTCCCATGCCCGCTGCTATGCTCCCGTGTCCTGCGCCAGCCGGGTCTGACTGGAGCTTCCAGAACCCGGTGGGGGTGGACTGCAGCTCCCCTGAACCTCGTTGCATTTGGCTGGCGGTTCTACGTGGAGGCACGACCTCGGAGCCACCCACTTCGCCACCTGCCATGCCTATTGGGCACAGCCAGAGCTCTCATCAGCCCAGGGTAAGAAGGGGTCACCGGTCTTCACCCATCTAACGTTAAGATGTGGTGACTGTGGCTAAAAGCATCAGTCAGTGGCTGCTGTTAAATGACAAGTTGAGTCCAAATTAAATGCTTGAGCTAGATAACTTGATGAGGATTTCCATCAGTGTATTGATCCCCATCACAGCTTCTAATAGCAAGATGTGAAATTTGTAAGAATTTCCTGTTTTATCTGTTTTTAAAAATAAGATTTATCAGTTAAAACTGTACATTGCTTGTTTGAATAGTTTCTCATAAATTTTTCTGTTGTCAAATGAATTGACCAGATTGCTTATTTAACATACTTCCTGCTAAATCCTCGGCCACTTTACACTCCAAGACATCGGAGATGTTTTTTGTCGTGCTCGTGGTGACTTTTGTGGTTCTCCAGAATTAACACAGCAAACAATGATATCAGCAATACTCTCCAGAAACCGCTGTGTGCAATTAGTCATGCATGTCAGCAATGCTTCTCTGTAACTGTACTCATTGTTTGGAGCCGGTTAACCCTTCAACTGTTGGTAGATTCTTTAAAGTTTCTGGAGAAATGCCTGTGTTGCCTTCAGGCTCTTTTTTTTTTTTTTTTGGCAGGTGCACTTTGTTTAGACTTCTTTGAGTGGATCAATATAATTAAGAAAGTGTAGTTTTTACCTACAGTCAAGGTGGCTTTTAGCTGCAGTTGGCCTGCAAAGACCACGTACACACCGAACTATTGAATTTGTTGTGGACTTGTTAATTCTGAACAAAAATATACTTAGAATTATGAATTTAAGATCAGATAAGCTACATTTAGCAAATAAAAATATTTCCCAGTTTACTCACGTTTTCCATCCATTGGATTAGGAATGGCTTGCATATTGACCCTTTCCTTCCTCTGGGGAGCTTCTAATTACTGGCTAAGCACAGTTTAAGGTGGCTTCTAAGTACCACTTTGATCGAGGTGTCATGCAGTTGTACAGCTGTGCATCCCCACCCCCAAGTCCCAAATGCCCTCAGAATTCAGGCCATTACTTCCTCATTTAACCGTGATCATTTATGTGGAATATCACATCTTTTTTCACTGCTTTTTTTTTTTTAATGGTTCTCATCATCCGCTTCCCCCAGACTCATTGACACAGTTTAAAAAATGCCATAATGAGGAATGTAAGTGTGGGGGGAGGAAAAGGAGAGGCTGTACGGACACAGCTGGGACAAACAGACACTGTACACTGTTTACATTTTAGGAGAGGGGAAGGAAGAGCAGTTGCACCTAGCCGTCTCTATCTGTTACTTTAAATTGAAATATGCACTTCTATTATCTCTCTGGCACATCATATGTCTGGTATCTTGTTCTGCTTTATTATCGTTGAGATTTATTGCGTTTGAGGGATCACAGGATTGGCGCATTCAATTCTTTTTGCATTTATTTTCTTTACGTTCAGCTGCCGGCACGACCGCAACACCCTCACGAGTTGTAAAGGTGAAAATCTGTCATGTAAAAGTGTGATAAAGTGCAGTGTTTTGTTGCACTTTCACCTCTTTGTTAAAGCAAAAAGTCGAGGCAGCGAGGATAAAAAGTCCCTGGTCAGATTTAAACCCACGTCACAGACTAACTGCCATGTGCTGCTGCCCACTCAGCTATCAAGTCATGCTGTAAAAGTTATTCTAAAACCGCTCCTCCTGGAAATGATTCTAGGCCTTGGATTGAATTAAAATAGCTTAAATGAACTTCACTGCTACCAGTGATGCAGGTTTCACTTGGACAAATAGGCATGTTTTGCTATTCATGAGAAAAAAACCCTGTTTAACAGACATTGCATCATCACCTGTTGGCCTGGTTGAACTGGACTGGACTGTGGGGCTGGACTGGTTTTTCAGCAAACATTCTGCATTCACACACGTTCGCAAGTATGGCCCCTTAAACATATCGTTATATAAATTACAGAATCCGCCGGCTTCCTTAAGAGAGTAAAGGTGGATATTCACGTGCACGTCATACATTTGTGAGACATAGGATGCTCGTGGAGGTGCAGAGGTGGGGGAGCGCTCTCTGTGTGTGGCCGGTGAGTCCAGGAATTATCAGGATGAGATGGTTTGGCTTTTTTTTTCACGCCGTCCCCTTTCCTGTTCCCTCTTGGCAGCTCGGCTCCGGGCTGCGGACGCAGACAGCTATGACCATCGGGATTAAAGGCTCGTCAGCATTTGTAACAGCCGCAAAGCTCCACTTTTCAAACAGGTTGCAGCTCTCAGCTGTTTAAAAGAGCATTATTGTTCTGTCCTGCTGGGGTTTTAGCAGGAGCCGGGCTCCCTGACAGTCACTGCATTCCTCTGAACTGCTTTACCTCTGGATGGAGCGAGGACAAGAGTGTGTGTCTGTGTGGACGTGTGCTACCCTACACGTACGCTGTTCCCGACGATTATGCCGTCAGCTTTACAATATTGTCATGTCCTAGAAAAGCCTCTTAAGACTCAAAAATCCTTTATTACGGGATTTCAGGGAAGATTACCACCCCCGCTGTTTATTTATAGCGTTTTTATTCTCTAATAAAGCTGATGGGGCTCTAAAATTTTGGCGCCGCAATTTAAACATCAAACATTTCCTCTGGATTTTATAGATGCAGCATGCTATGTTGTCCTTGAGCTGCTCCTTTCTTGTCTTATCAGTCCTGCATCTTAATTATATGGTTCTTAATTGAAATCAGGAGGAAAATGTCCTCGGGGAAGAGCCGGCTGCTGCTGCTGTGTGTTGGCAAAGCACACCACTTTACCCACTAAACATTCACTCAAAGGAGGAAGCTGTGGTGTGACATTACAAGCTTTTCTGCATATTCAGTTGTTTCCAATGAAGCATTTTTTTTACTCTTTTTTTTTTTTTTTTTAATGACATCATCTACAGGTGATAACAGGATTCTTCAGTTCTCTGTACTCGCTGAAGTTTATTTGCTAATCAGCCTCAGCAGGTAATACTTCTTTCGGCGAAAACAATGTGAAACAGTTTAAGTTCCCACTTGCAGGGCAGGAAATACCAAATGTCTTCTTTTCTCAGCAAAACAGGAGCGAGGTTTCCCTCGTCTGTGCTTCCAGCCTGCGTAGGAAGTCAAGATTAGACTGCAAAACCGCAGAAACAATTTTCCAAGTTCCTTGTTGGTTAAACTGAATGTCCTGTCCCGGAGAGGCCTGTCAGCAAGCTTAGACTGTTTTTTAATTTTATTTTGCTAGCGGTGGCAGAGGAAACTGGTCGAATCATGCTCAGAGGGCATGAGAGGGGGTTCGTCTTGTTTTAGGGGGAAAAGGTAGAGTCTAGATTCGGCAGAATGGCCGAGCAGAAACACAGTCCAGAGCTGCAGAGTGGGAAACTGTCCTCCTGGCTCAGAGACCCAGGCAGACCCTGTGTGTTTTGGGTAATCACAGGGTTCAGTATTCTCAGCGCCGGGAGGGGCCATGTGGTCGAAACCGGCGTGCTGGAGCCTGTCCCTCGCTGGGGCACGATACTCCTCCTCCTTCTGCGTCTCCTTCTCTCCTCATCCTTCTCGTCTCATTCACTCTCTGTGCTCCCGCCCCTCCTGTGCCAGTTGCTGTGTGTGTTTCAACTTGTCCAAAATCAAACCGCGCCCTCCAAGGAATTCACTCTGTCTCTTCCTCCTTTCACCCCGTTGCTCTTTCATTTCCTCTTTTTTTTCTTTCCTGGCCTTTTCTTTTTCTTTATCATTTTAATTTGACACTCCAAGCACTCCCCTGCCTTCCTCACGCACCTCTTTATGCGGCTCGCATAATAGGCCTCGCTGCATGCCTCTCTAAGAAAATAGAAGGGTTATTTTACATTGTTTAGACTGCCAGACTAAAGATCCAGCTTTGAGAATCTATGGATATCACAGTCTGTGAAACGTGCACATCATATCTTCCAAAATAATCTTTTGTGATTGTTTGGAAAATAGCCAAGATTAACCAAAATTATATTCGTACTTCTTAAAGTTTAAGCGTTTTAACCAGCAAACATCTTGATGTTTCTGAAAGTAGCCTATAAGTGCAAATTTATTTTTTGGTTTCTTTTTTTTTCCCTCGATGGAATGTGAAATTAGAGGAAAAGAACATGTGCGGTAAATGTCGGCAGAGCCAGGTTTCCATTGCAAGAATAGAAGTGGAGAGAGAGGAAGAAGAGGTGGAAGGGAGGAGAGGTTGGAAGGAAGGAGAAAGAGGGGTGAAGAATGGAAGTGCCTCCATAACTCTCCGTGGTTATATTTGTAGGGTTATCCCGCCCCACAGTGCTGCCCCACTTCCTGCCTCAAGCCTGCAACTTCCTGTTGTTCTGTGGCCATGCGGAGATTTGCCAGGACAGGCCTGTGCGCGTTATTGTGCTTGCGTGTAAGCATGTTTATCGGGAGGACAGGAAGCGGAATGTGGGGTGTGCATCTAGATGATGTGGTCTAGAAATACTAACCCACTGACACGAAAACATGTATGCAACATACACACAATCACAGAATCTGAAGACGCGCAAAACAGTTTAGGATTTCGACTTTTAAGGGCACACTGACTCATATCTCAGTGTGGTTTGAGTAATCTGAATCTCAGAGCATTCACTCATTTTTCATATCAAGTGACATGCACATCAAATTACACCTAAAATGACATCTGTGGCCTCTGTTTGTTGATTCATGGCTTGTACACTCATAAAATAAGTCCCTTTATTAGGGCTGTGCGATATGACCAAAATCTCATATCCCGATATAA